ACTTGACATAGAATGACCTAGCTTTAGTTTCGAAGTTGTAGAAGTCACAAAGAGAGTTGCATAAGTTTTAGAATTCTTTTTGCTTTATTTGAAACAAGTTTGTTTGCCAAATTTGCAGAAAGTTTAAACAGGTTGATTTTTGAATGTTTAATGTAAATTTATTCTCATATTTCTCTCTCTTTTTTTTATCTCTCTTATTCATAACAGATATATTAAATGAAATTAAAGCGGTATAATCAGACAACTTATCAGAATATTTGCTGACGGATAGGATTCACCAAAGTCTTCCAACATGCACACACATATTTATGTTGAGATTGATTGATTCACAATTCAGTATCCGTTTATCTCGTATGCGCGAGATATATAGAAAAAGGATATAGGTTTAATCTTGGTTACCGATGCAAGAGGGAAACAGATCCATATTACATTTTCGAAATACACGGAAATCTGGTGTTCTTTTTACGTTAGGATGAAGGAATGATAGATAGTATCGCAAAACTTCCAGTTACCGGTATACGTGCAAGTTTGTCTCATACGTGGCCCGGCTTTAGACTGTAGCCACACCGACACGTAGGATTGATGAGCTTCGCGGTCGGATATTGTGCTCGAAATAAGAGATACCCGAATTCTGTCACTCGGCTTGGATGAAGCCGTCGAGTTTACGCGTCCCGCGGTCGCCCATTTCGCATCGACACGAAGCCGGATTAAGAACCCGCCGACGCTTGCATTGTTCATGAGTATAATTCTGGAAGCATGGTTTGATTGCGCTTCAAGACCAATCGGTTTATGGGTCATCGCGGCTAGTATTGATCTCGCGATCTTAGGACGGGATCGTTACGTTTATTTTCAGGAAGAACCTTGATGCCTCTATCAATGGTAATACGCGAACGTGCGAGGATTCAGGAACTCGTTTCATCCACTATCGTTTCTTCTTTTGTATGTCCCTTTTCTCCTTTATTCTCTGTTTATCTCTCTCGCTTTCCTCGCACGCGTTCGAATCCTCCTCCTCATCTGGATTTACATAGATCTCAGGTCAGACTGAAGATTACACGTGAGTCGGACTCTATCGCGGACTCGCCATGAGAACAAATTCACAATTGAATTGTTCGCAAATGTAATTTTCATTGCATATTGCGATGCAAATGGAATATTTGAAATCGTTACACGGGTTGTTGATAAGATTACTTGTGCTTATTGTGAAACAAATATCAAAAATTTATAAATGCAAATTATAAATGAATGCGAAAAAAAGAAACATTGTAAGAGTCGAATATATGAATTCTAGACAAATTTGATTTTATTCTCGAATTTATCGCGAATATTTAACATTTCTTTTTTTTTTTTCTCAAAAACTTGATTTTTGCTTTAAATAGGAATTAACTTGGACCACCATTTAGTCTCTAAAAACTATATTTTCCTTTTATGTTTATGAAATATTCTAGAGAATATTTTATACTTTTATGAACTTTTTTATAAAAAAAGTTTTCTATTATATAACCGTTTTATACAAGACTTTTCAGGCTGTACTGGAAAGTACTGCAGGGAAGAAGCATACTGCAAGTTTAATTACGTATATGTATAGAGTGGAATATAGCCGTTGTAAAGAGGAGATTTAAGTTCAATTAAAAGTGTATTACGGCTGTGTGTACCTTAAGCAGTCTCGCCGACTAACGATGGATTTTCTACGTGTTTCTTTCCAGAATAATTAGTCTCAATACGATTACCACGATACTATTGATCCGTAACATTTTTGTGTGCAAGTGTGTACGTGTTTATGCGCGTGCTGATCTTTATTTTCCATTTACTCGGTTTACCAGAAATCAGATTAGATGGTTATTTGAAGGCACAGAAGGGAGTGCGCTCATTATTTTTCATTTTAGTTCTTCGTGAACTGAGCTATATTAACACGTGATTTATAACATCAATTTAATCTTTACTAGTTTGTGGTGCACTCGAAAGATTACTTTACAAAACACGTCATATTGCTTGCAAGCAATTTTATCTAACTCCAATTTTGACGTGCAATCGTGTATTTTTGCTACAAAATGATCAACTTTTCTTATTTATCAAGAAATCTGCAACCATAAATAGACGTGTTTATATACTTCTTGCGTATTACATTATTGAAATAATTTGGCTTATTAAGCATATTAGCTCATAACCGAGAATTTCATTTAAGTTTTTAATCGAATTAGATATAAATTGCATTATTTATTTATAAAGACCGAATTATATAGATGCTAGTGCGCGCAATTAAAAAAATGAAATTTTTTAATTACGATCTAATGATCTAATGTAGTTACAATTGGTTGTAAACATATGCATATATGTATATGGGTATATAAATGCAGGAATGCATTGTTTTATTAAGCTTAAAAAGTGAAATTATTATTTTAATAAAACTATTATTATTTTAGTTTTATCTATGAAAAATTTTGTTCTATATGGTTTTTTGTTTAACAATTTGTGACAAAAAATTTAAGCTGTGTTAAATAATCTTATTAATTTGTTTTTTTAATAAATTTAAATTTTTAAGTTCTAAGTAATAATTTTTGTTAAATAGAAACCTAAATCATAAATTTGTATAAAACAGCTTTAAAAGAAAAGTTAAATATATAAGGTCTATATGTTATAAATCGGAGCATGGAGGAAGAAACTTACATAGACTTTCATTTAGAAAATAGATGCGTCCTAATGAAGTTAAAAACTTGTTTACACGCTTCCATTAGTGTAGATGAGAAATTTGATTACTTGAAAGTAAATAGCGCGCCTGTGTGTATTAAATATCCGCTGCTGCTTTCACAGAGCTTTTTTGAATGCAAAGATCTTAAGGATATACCGAGGAATCGACATTCGGCAGTCTTAAAATCTTGGTTTAGCAACTTCTTTCATTGCTTCTTCTTTCAATTTTCTTGCATGTAGATGTCTTAATCTTTTTTCCTGAATAAGAAAGAAATGTAGTTTGAAAGAGAAAAATCGTGCTTTTTCCTACATCTTGTCTTAATTTACATATAAACGTTATAAATTAAATATTCAAAAATATCTGTAGTTCGCGAATAAACTTAAAAGACTCGTAAATTATTTATTATTGAATTTATTATTGTATATGAGACATTAAAAAAATATTAATTATTAAAAAATATAGGTACATATACCATATATTAAATAAATGATATTTACGTTGCAATTATTAAATGCGTATAATTTGTGTTCTATGTAAAATTATCATATTCATCTACTACAGTAGCAATTACATTTATCGGTCTAAAGGGTATAAGAGGTCACACGGTTATATTTCTAAATGTGTACCAGTGACTGATGCAAGGGAGAGTGATATTCATTGCATTGACGTATGTATACAATGTACCTGTGGTCTGTTAACCGACTATAACTTGTTGCAAGTCATGCAAGTCGAGCAATTTGCAATAATTGATAGATCTTATTTAGCTTTTGATGACGCAAGAAACTTATATAACAAGCATTTAATTAATATCCACCGTACGGTTATATTTTAGGCATTTTGTAATATTTTAAGAACATGTAAATTAACTTTGACGTAACTATTACCTATATTTATAAATAAAATGTTCTCCACTTTAGCAACGAATTATAGGGTTACATTTAAATATATGAGTATTCAAAACACAGACGCGCGCATTTGTATGTATATTAAATTGCATGATATGATGACTGATAATAAAACAGCTGAAATTTTTACGTTTCACCATTTTACATATAGATTGTAATAACGTAGCTATTTGTTAGTATATTTGTTTGAGGTTATCACATTTGTATAGAACATCAGAATTTCAAATAAGATTCCACATTTCGAAATGATAGCTTCAATACGGCATACCAAGCGCAAAAGGTGAAGCTAGTTTCGCTTGAGAATTGCTTTTCGAAAAGATCCAGTCTGTATGTAACACTATAAAAGCGTTAGAATAATAAAAAATTACATATATAAATTATTGATAATTTAGCATAAAATTTTGACTTTTGAAAAGTTTTTAGAGAGTTCGCTCGCCGATAGATTCAAATATCTCACGCAAAATTGAGTATGCAAATATGATCTGGGATAACATTGATTCTCTATTAGATGAGAAATACTTAAGTACATATTAAATTCCGAACTAGCAACACGATGATGCACGTACCATACTATAAACTGTAGCTAACTTACTTCGTATCATCACGCGTAGTTTCGTAAGTATACTATCTCGTCTTGAAAATTTTCTTTGAAGTAGTAATTGGCTTGCTTGTTAATGGCCTCTTAGAAGTTTCTAAGTTTGACGAGTAGACCGTCTATAAAGCTGAGCTTAATGAAAGGAATTTTGTTACATATTGTACAAATTTAATTTTATCACTTTCACAATAACATTTATTTCATTACCGCGATAATGAATCTCACCGCAAGATAATTTATTAAGGCCAATAATGAGAAATGAAAACCAGCGAACGGTTTATGTGATATAATTATATTTAATCTTACAGTTGTTTTCTTATCATAAGATTATTTTAAAAATAAGTGTTTATCTCCTCGCATATGTAAAGAATTCATAATCTGAAAATGTATGTATTATAAAACAATGCAAATTTTATTTTTCGTCCGAATTTAATTAAAGATAAATTTATTTATTCATTTGCATTTTGAATATTCAAGGTTATTATATTCTGTAAGAACGATTGCGCACTTAAGTCGAGTCTTTCTGACTTACTTCATGAACGTCTATCTAAATTTTGTTGCACGCGGCAACGATAAACGTATATAAGATTGTTTTGAATAATTCTTTTTTTTTCAAAATCAAGAATACAAGAACACCGTAGAATTATAAAGCGCCAGGCTTAGTCCTAGCTTGACCCGCTTACGTTAACTCGCGCCATTCAACGCTGAGTTTCTCGAGTACTTTGCAAACTTTGGCGCGCACGTAGGTGGGCTATAAGTATAAGTACTAGTAAGTAAGTAAGTAAGTATGTATGTATACCGCTGGTTAACATAGAGTTCGTTCGCGCGATGGCGTGATACTTAAGTCGAGGACGTTCCGTGTTACAGATTTACCCAGGTTCGGCAAACCGTTGAACAACCTTACAGTCTCGGTGGGTCGCGAAGCCATTTTCACCTGCATCGTCGAGACTCTCGGACCATACAAGGTGAGAGACACATTATAATCCCTATCCTATTTCCACGCGCGGTTACAGTTATATATATATATATATATATATATATATATATATATATTGCGCCATACTGCTGCTGCAACTGCACATCGCGTTGTGCACACTAATGTCTCTTCGTACGATTGAAACTGGCATTGATAAGGGATATCGGACTGTATACATTTTCTCAGACGACAAAATTGCGGAGCGATATTGTCCATCGAAGTGATTCTATTTGCTCGAATTGAAATCAAGATCTAATAAGATTTTTATAAAATTATTATCACTGTAGTTTTATAAAAGCTTATATTAATTTTTTAGGGATTTTATTAAACAAACACAAAAATCAATATATTTAAACAATTTTTAATATATATTTTTTATAACCAATTTCTTTTTTTGTGCACCTAAAGCCGTAGACGTAAATACGAGATGTGAGAATTACACAAGATTAAATCAAGATCTAATAAGAATTTTTTTTTCTCACATCAAATGTGCAATACGCAAGTACGAATCTCTAAATTATAAAATTATGCGGAGGGTATTATACTATTCTGTTAATACATAGATACGTTGTAATTTGCGATTTAGAAAATTGGCGCTAAGATAGCTCGAGAACTGTAGAACGACGTCATTACCGAACTACATTCGCAAAGTTCTACAGGGACGGAGAAGCTAACGAACGGTACAAATAAATTCGAAGCGAGGGATTGTGCTAGGATCACAGTGCATATCTGAGGCAACTCCATTTAAGTAGAAATAAAATCCCGTGGGGTGTGAGTTCAGCAGTTTGTTAAGCGGCTCCAGTCCTCTCTCGACCGCCGTCTTCCAGCCGATCGTTTCCCTGTCGTTCGTCTATCTTCCTTCTCTCGTTTTCTCCTTATTTTCCAGCCTCCTCTCGAAGGAAGTCTCGGGAACTCCTCCTGGAGAGAAATACCCTTTTCAATTCTCTCCTCTGCTTACTTTCTCTCTTCTCTCTTCTCTTCTCTCTCTCTTCTCTCTCTCTCTCTCTCTCTCTCTTTTACCAAGACCTGCGCTCAAACCGCGCGTATAGGAGTTATAGTTTTATAGATAACGTCGCTTCCGCGAAATGTTTTTGGCGATAAAAATGCGCAAGATTGTTTTATGGCGCCGCAAAAATATATGTGTGTGTGTACGTGTGAGCACGTATGAACTCTGTGCGTTTTCGAACGGAATCGATGCATTATCCTTACGGGGTTGGTCAACGGCACCTCTCAGCGGAAATGAAAACGGCGAGTCATACGCGCCTGCCGCGATGCTCTCGCGGAAAGCGTTGGTTGGCGCAAATAATAAAAAGCGCGTGCATGTATATATGTATGTATTTCACTTTGCTCGGGATACAAAGGAGTGCGCTTTCGATAATCGATGCCGACACGGTCGCCGCAAAATTAACGCTTTTTAGCGTAACTCCCTTTAGCACATGGCAGCCACACACGGCGCAGCTATAACCGATAGCTCGTGATTGGTTCTCTACGCTGGTGTAGTATCGCAATTCTCTCATTAATAATATATTATTAATTTTTTGTAATGAGACATGCGCGATTAAGTAAAGCGCAAATTTATAGTTTTGTTAGAGAGAGAGATAAAGAAAGAGAGACGTAAGTATATACTTTCGAATGGTATAACGATACGAAGGGAGCTTATACTAGTGTTGACATCGAGTGTTTATTTATATTTCAAGTTGCTGCATGAGTAATGGTGGATTTTATGTATAGTGACTTGAGATAGGAAAGGAGTACCTCAGATACTCTCTGGTGCTTTGAAATAATAAAGCGTCTTATTACGAGTTGCGTTAGGTGTTACCGTGTTGCATAATATATGAGGGTACTAATTTCGCTAATTAATAACAAACATGTCATTTATGTGTTAGACTTTCTTCTTTGGGAAGTATTTCAGAAATTGTTTGCACTGATTTGCATCTTCAAGACAAGTTTAAGATTGCATCTTAAGATAATAAAGAAAATATTTAATAATTAAATAGAAAGATATGTAAAATTATTAATTCATTAATTATATTTTTATTTCTTATTTTTTAGCTACTTAAAATCCAACAGATAGAAAATGATTAATATATAAAAATTGTTAAAATACTTAATAATTCGATATTATATATATATGTTTTGTACAAATAAAGAGAACACAATGTAATATTTAATTATATTAATAATATAATATTATATTTCCCCAGAAAGCAGAGTTAAAATATCAGAAAGAGATATTTATAAATTTCAGAATTATTTATGAATAATTGTATTATAAATTACATTATGCTTGTTGTTGTTATATTAAATTATAAATCTATTAGCATTATATATAATATGTGCAAAGTATATAAAAAGTGACACAAATCTTCATATAAATATATTGTATAAAAATAAATATTTTTAAGCTGATTAGAATTAAAAAAAATAGTTTTAAAACTTTCTACTGAAGCTCTATATATTCCAAAGTTAATCATGCAGCTCGTCAGTGATCCAGTATCCTTACGCTAACTTACTGTGCAGATTATGCCGCATAAGTTACCGAGTAATCTACTCATTTTTATTCTTTGTTTAGCAAGCCGTACTAATTTATATAAGACTAATTTCTAAAATACCTTATTTATCAAATAAAATGTTCTTATTTAAAATGCATTGCATAATGAAATTTATCAGTAACTATTGCTAAAAATTATTTTAATTAGTTGAAAGTGTTGTAAATACATTTTTTTATAAAAATATGTTTTACCATATATATTTAAACGTTTTATTCCTAATAGTAATATTATCAAACCAAAAGATGATTACAAATTATCATTAATATTACACTTTGAATATAAAAATATATATGTATAAATTAAATCATCAAAATCCATTATCATAAATTATATGCATAATTTTAAAAAATTAATTCTAATAATTATAAAATGATTAACAATTGATAAATATTTTGTAATATTATTATGATAATTCAGTTTTATTTTCCCTCAAAAATCGACTAATATATTTTTGCCAATTCTCTTATTGCACGATAGGGCTCATTCAATGCAGTTATAATATTTTCATTTCTTCCGTTCTTTCATGAAGTGCGGAAATAAGCTGCGTACTTCAAATATAAAACGATTTATGTATTATCCCGACTATGCGGCAAATTTTAAAATTTCATTAAAGAGCCGAAATTGCTTCCTGCGGAAGTGGAAGCAGTAAGGAAAGGAGGCACCCCAGCGAAGTATTTTTACGATCCTAAACCTAATTGAAGCTGGGTCCTTGAAACTCGCTGGGTTTCGTGGAGATTAGTGTTCGCAGACAATTTTTCTCTTTTTAAATAATCATAACTTTTAACATATTATATCAATGCATATTTTTATTTCTGTTACGCGGAATCGCGTATTATAAATTATTATACATTTATGCAATATATAAAATGCTGTTATATTTATTTATGAGACAATTTTCAGTTTGTGTTTACGGAACAATAGATATTTTTTTAAATTTAGCTTTTACATAACAATACTGAGAGATATAAATTAAATATACGCGCGTGTATTAGCGAATCCGTTCCAAAATATACAAAATTTTTAGTAAATTTTTGCAAGTGAAAAATAACGTAAAAAATTATGTACATTGATTGTTTTTTATTTTATATTATTTCTAGTTATCAGTATACAAACATATTTTTTCAATTTTGTATAATTATTCGGTTACATAATTTTTACTTTATGCGATTTGTATCTATTGGTTATGTTTGTAACTATTGGTAAAACGTCCATATGTTATATTGCAAGTGTTTCCAACTGCCCCATCAGATTACGAGTTTGATCTCGCAAGAGCCAACCGAGGTTGCCAAATGGTTACACGCTGTCATGTGACATCTATTACTATACTTCGAACAAAAGGTAATCTCATTCTTCAAACAAAACTTTATTTCCTTGAAATGAATATTATAAAAATGAACAGGATATCATAAATCATGCACATAATACAATTATGGATTCATAATTAATCAATATATGCAAATTAAATAGACGTAACAAAAAAAAGGCACAAAGTGACATATTTTAATAAATTGAGGAAATTTATTTTATATATAAATAAAAAAGGGACAGTTTATGATTTATGTCATTTTCAAATTTTTCTACGTAAAAATATTGGGTTCTAAAGTTTTTTGAGACTTTGGACTTTAGCCAAGAAATATATATATATATATATATAAAGTTGACGTTTTGTTTTCGATTACGATAAGGTGTCGAATTTAGCGCGACCTTATACGGGTTGTCTCACACACCAAGTAACGCTTACGACTAATATTCTCTCGAGGGAGCAAACTCTCGAAATCATTACGGTCTGTTGCAAAGGCATTGTGTACTTCCTCGCCGTAACATTCGGCAAATTGCGCATCTACCAGAGGCACGGTAGCACGAATATTCCACAATCCCTTGACGATCCTTGATTACCCAGCGGTCCTTACCGACACGACGCACGATTTCCCGCACATATCTGACGTCGGCCTTAATGGACTTTGGATCAAGGTGCTTAACGTTCGGAGAATGCTGGCGTATTTCATGTCTCGCAGTCAATAGTTGAAGCGGGAGAAAGCGGTCACTGACGCGAGCAGGGAGGGAAGCTCTCGGCTCTGTGATTGTTCGTGCAAACAAACCGCAGTATTAATTATTCGTGATACCGACGCGCGGCGGTTGCATCGAACCGGACAACAGACGGATATCTCGTAGAAGAAGCTCGTGTTTCGGGAGTTACTATCTTGTCGACGATAATTCCCCGAATCTCGAGAGAATGGATACGAGCCAGCTGAAATTTCTCCTCGCGAGAGTAACGACATGTCAATGGCCAGGGTCGCCACTTCTATTTCGCCGATCCTCTTTTCTCTCGTCTCTCTTGCCACCTTGTGTTTTTCTCTATACGACCTATGTTGTATCCGTACACAGACACAAAAGTTCTACGTGCTTCTCTACACTTTGCGCTATCCCGATGAAGAGG